GCTGAGTGGCTAAGAAATTTATTGGCAGACGTGCCATTGTGGGGTGTCCAACACCTGTCGTGCCTATACATTGTGATTCTCAAACTGCTATTTGTGTGGCAAAGAATAGTGTCTACAATGGGAAAAGAAGACACATAAGAGTCAGACATGAGTCTCTACGGAAGTTAATACTAAGCGGGGTTGTGACACCCTGTAAATCTAACTCCTAATTGTGATTAATTGAGGAATTAATCCTAGCTTTCCTTTGATAATTTATTTCTAAAAATCCTGAAATTTAATAGTCGAGGGACTAGAATTTGACTAGTCTCTTTAGTCAACCAAGTGTACATTTTGCCTTATGTTTTGTACCTCAAACCTTTTGTCTTTCCAACCTTAGTAAGGGTAAATTTGACCTTTCACACATGTTTTGTTGTTCAATCTTTCCCTAGCAAGACATTTCATTCATTTCCCATGCTAGCCAAATCTTAAAACCTCCACCTTCTCTCTATAAGAAATCTTAGCTTTCTCTCCAAGCTAGAAGAAGGATTCTCTATCTTTGCAAGATTTCACCTAAAGTTTCCACCTTTCTACCTCTCTAGCATAGAAAAGGGTAAGATCTCTAGTTGTTTAGTGTTTTTAGCTAGCTTAAAGGTATCTTTATCTTATTTTGGTGTTTTTCCTTGTGGTTTGGTTTGGTGAGAAGTCCTTGGTGAGGAAGAGCTTCAAGGTGAAGCTTAGGAGGGTAAGAAGAAAGTGGTGTTGGTCTACAAAGGTAACCCATGCTCTACAAAACATATTTTATGCTTGCTATTGATATTTCTTGGCTTCTATTTGATGATTCTTGATATTGTGAGTGGTTTGATGCATGATCTTGTGATAATGCATGTTTAGAGCTTGTATTTAGGGTTCTTGAAAGCCTTTCTTTGAGCTATTCTTGGGTTCAAGTCATATCTTTGTTGTGTGTGAGGTTTTGGGTGTTTTGGACTTGAACTTGGCTTTGTTGATTATTTTTCCCGAAGGGAATTTTTGGAGTACAGGTGGTACCCTGCGGGCGGAACGGCGGGCAGTGGCCTACCCGCCGCCCCACCAGCGAGGAACAAAGGAGTATTGTGGGGTGTACCCCGCGGAGAACATATGTGGGGATTGTGGAGATTTGTTCCCCGTGATCCTTTACTCTTGGTATTTGATGTTTTGACCTCCCATTGTTGAATTATTGAGCTTTTGTGAGTCTTCTTGATGTTTCGTATGTCTAGAACGATGGGTTAGGAATCCATGTTAGGATTTGGTGTCTTGAATCGTGCTAAGGGTCCAACCTTGTGATTCGTTGGGCTAATATGAGTCTTGAAGGTTCGTTGGAACCATTTTGGTTCACCCATTTTGATGAGCATGCTAGTTTGATGTTGTTATGCTAGTATGTATGGTTTGTTCCTTCTTGTTGAGGGTTGGCAACTCGTGTTGCCAATCATTTTGATGTTGGATTGTAGTCCTTTGTTGTTGAGTATTGCATCATGTCTTTGTTGAAATCTCTTGATTAATTCTCATGGTGTGATATTGTACAAATCGTTGTACCCTTTGTTGATACTTAATTGGGGCTATTGATAAGCTTTAGTCTTATTGATGATGATGACTGCGTGTGAATATGAATGAGATTGGTGGTTTTGTTACTCGAGCTTTGCTCATGAGATCGGTGGTATGTGACTATGAATTGAACAGTCTCCTCGTGTACTTGAGATCGGTGGTATTCTGATTGGTGGTGTAGATTGGTGGGGGACGACGGTCCCAGATCGGGAAAAGATTGGACTCAGAATACAGGGTGGCACTCGGAGGTACAGGTTGGAACTGTAATAAGGCCGAGGATAGCCATAAAGGTGGTATTAATGTATAAGGTTGGAACATAAACTTGTCATTATGTGATTGATGCATTTCCTTGCTTATGTGCATGTCTATGATGAACTCTACATTGTGCATGGTATGTTGCATCTAGAGTTGTGGTTGTCGTTTGTTGTTGTGGTCTTTATTGATTTGATTGAGTTGTGGGTCTTGATCCTTTCTGAGAGTGTGTTACGATTGATTGTTGTCTCGTCTCTTGATTTTCAAATGCTATATATCGTATTCCTCAGTTCCAAATGGTTTTGTCTATAACTATGTAATTATATTGATACTTAACGCGTATTGGTGGGTTACCAGCTTTATTCGCTGACCGGGTGTTATCCCTTATCTTTACAGGTTTTGATTAGATTGGAGAGCGCGCTAGTGGATCTAGTTAGTGTAGCTTGCTTCCTTATGTTTAGATGTGGGCCTGTGAGCCTTAGATAGATGTGACCTGTGTGCCTTAGACAATTGTTTTGTTTGTTATGATGGATTTTGTAGACTTAGCCTGTGCACCCGTAGTTTTATGGGTGTGGCATAACACATTTCCCGAATTAATTAGCTTCCGCTTTTCTGATGTTTGATGTTTAGACTGTTAATCTTTGAAATTAAGTTTTAAATTGTTGGTAAAATTCGGGAGTGTTACAGGGGTCATCACAATGGAATTTGTGAGATCTGAGATGAATATAGCAAATCCTCTCACAAAAGGCTTAAATCGAAAAGTCATCCTTGAAATGTCAAGGGATATGGGCTTCAAGCCAATGAGATAACGAATTCATGATGGATACCACCTTTGGTGGTCAAATGAAATCATGGAAAGACTTACACCGGAGTTATGGAAATAAGCAACCATAATATACTCTGTAGCCTAAAGGTAGTCTATGCTGAGATAGACTTGACAGAGTTGAAATTCGAAAAATGGTTAGACTAAACATGGTTCATAATCAGTCAAAGTGTTTGACTGTGTAGAACCTGATTAGAGTTGACGTGAACACTTGAGTTCAAAATTTTACTAACCTGAAAAATTCAAAGGAACATCCTACTTACAGGGAGTAAAACACTTGGTAATTTCACATGTCAGTTCAAGACCTTATCACTGGCATTAAAATTAGCTCTTAGGGTTTCGCTTAGACTTTTTCCTTTTCCTTTCTTCTTTGAATGTGTGGGGGATTGTTGGAAACATTCAAAGGGAATGTGTGGATTCAATTGCCTCCTTTATGAATGGTCCCTATTATTTCTCTCAAATGTGTGGCTGGGAAAAGAAGAGGTGTTATATTCAATAGTATATAAACAGCCCCTCTCTACTCCTTCATTCACACATCCCTATGATACCCTGGTCATGAAATGCTTTTAATGCAGTGTTAGAACAACTTCTTTTCTTATCCTTTTTAAGTTGTCCATCCTAAATTAACAAGTACTCGTATTTTGTTGGTACGTGTACGACATTGTTGTCCTACTAGTTCAACCCCCGAAATACAACGCAGTGAAACTGTAGTAGAATTAAAATGATACTTTAAGCCTTGTTTGGTTAATGGTGGATTCGCCAAAATTTTGACAAATCCACCCGTCAAAACGCCAAAAAAAACATATTTGGTACCTCAACGGCTTAGAAGTTTGGAACAACGATTTGCTCTAAACCGCTGAAACCCAAACGCTGCTCTTAGCAGCATTTGGGGAAGAATTTTCCTTCCCTCAAAACACCCTCCATTTTTTATATATAGAAAAATAAAAATTAAAGTTATTCGTAAAAAACCTGAGGCTTCTTTATTTAAAGAAACCTCAGGCTTCTCTCCTCTTTGCCCATCCGATGTGGAATGATCAAGAGAAACTGAGGGGCGTTGAGCTCCCTTTTATAAGAGAGCTCAACGTCATTTTTTTTTCTTTAACTTTTGATGTGGGATTTTTATCCCACATCATTTTTGTTTTATTTAATTTTATTATTATTATTATTTATCATATCCTTTTTGTCATTTTACATGCTAACTGCTAATTTAAACAACTAATTTTATCAATCATCTTTTTACAAACCGCTGATACAATCTGCTGATCAAACTTGTTAATATGATCCGCTATTTGCTAACCGCTAATACAATCCGCTAACACTAAATGCTAACCGCTGATTGCCAAACAAGGCCTTAGTGTTGCTAAAATGAAACTAGTGTGTGTGAAAAATGAGACTAAAAAATAAAGTTCATTCAATAATGTTATTGTCAAATGAAACCGTAATATAATTAAAATGATACTTTAATGTTGTTAAAATGAAACTAGTATGTGTGAAAAATGAAACTAAAATCCAAAACCATATAATAACATATATTGTCATATGATCGTAGAGTATAATTAAAGTAATACTTTAGCATTATTATAATTAAATTAGTGTATGTGAAAATGAAAATACAAAATAGAGCTTATACAATAATGTATATTGTCAAATAAAAATGTACTTCGTAGTAGAATTAAAATGATACTTTGGTATTGCTATAATGAAATTAATGCGTGAAAAATGAAATTGAAAAACAGAACAGTATTGTCAAATTAAATTAAAGTGTAATTATCATGATACTTACTCCATAGACTGCATTACTACAAAGACCATGATCCACAGTAAAATTTGCCACCTACATATGTACTCACGCATAAAAAAATGATAATTACTTTGAAAAAAAAAAAAAAAAAACTCTACCAAGCCAATCGTTATATCTGGTCCACAGTGCACTATGGACCTTAGTACAATACAACATAATTCATATTCATAATGTACAGAATTTATGTTCATAATACACATTCACATAAACGCAATATAATGAACATGAATTCTGTACATTATGAATATGAATTAGTGTATTATATAGATGTGGACACATAAACACTTAACATAATACACACAATTCATGTTCATAATACATATATTCATATTCATTATATTGTGTTATGTATATGTGTATTATGAATATGAATTCTATGCAATATAAACATAAATTATGTATATTATAAAGTCAGATTCTATGTGTTGAACCAGATTCCACGATATAAATTGCCCTACCAAACAGGCCTATAGCTTTTTGTTTCTTTAAAAAATTGTTTCAATTTTGGGCCAAGTCCAAATCCTAAACTCGGCCCGATTGAACCAAATATAAATTTCGGAGCTCAAGACTCAAGAGTGCGCGAAACGCCATTGCCGAACTTTGATCTTTCTCTCACTTGTACAGTTGTACCCTAGTTCTCTGCAACTGGAAAGCTATCACCAGTTAAAGATGTAAGTATTTCCATTCGTATCTTGATTCAAGAACTAGAAGAAATTGAGGAGTTTCAGATATCTTTTGTTTTTGAACTAATTCTTTTGCGCTTTTCATCTTGAATTCTCAGTAACTCTAAACTCTAATGGCGTGCAATTTGAAAGACAAGCATTCGCTGACCAATTGGAGGCCCCATCCGGGAAGACCTGGCCCCGATCATAGCAGCAATCCTAATGGAAATGCCGCGGAAAGAAGTGCAGTTCCCAATTCAGGTTCAGAATCTGGTGATTTGGCCCAGAACCCGAACCCTAAACTAAGTGGCTTCTTTACTGACGAGAAATTGGAAGAAATGTTGTTGCGTAAATTGGAGTTTGCGTGTAAAAAGGTGATCTCTAAACTTGTTTCTCTAGGCCACGATGAGAATGTGGCTTTGAAGGCTGTGCTTAGCAATGGGTATTGGCATGGGGAGAAGGATGCGTTGGCAAATATATTTCAAAATTCTTTATCGTATTTCGAAGATGGGAATAGTGTGCGTTCTGAGAATCCTGAACATAATTTCTCTGATTTAACACAGTTGAAGAAATGCACCCTAGCAGGGATGGTGTGTTTGTTGCAACAGGTTAAGCCTCATTTGAGCAAAGGAGATGCAATGTGGCGTTTACTATTGAGTGAGCTTCATGTTGAGCGTGCTAGTGCTATAGAAATTCCCAATGGGATTGATGGTAGTAGTAGTAATGTAGAGGCGTTTGCGAATGCTATGTTTAGGTTCCGTGGTGGCTGTAGATTTGAGAATGGTAGGCCTAATGAGGGTCCTATGCATATCCTAAGTTCTTTGGAGAATGAGATTGTGTATCCAAAGAAGTATAATCTTAATCCTGAGGTGAAGACTTTGTTGAAAAGGAATGTGGGAGTCTGTTCTGCTGGACTTAGAGAGAATACAAAACATTTAGAGAATCAGTTGCAGGCTTCCTTAGGCTCTTTGAATATAACTGAAACAGGGGGTGACGAATCCCCGAATGTTGTGAATGATGATGATGCAATTGTCTCAGTTGTAAGTAAGTTTCGAGATTTGCATATTCAGAGCACAGAGACTGCGCGTATCCAGATTGATCAGAAAGACGAGGCAATGTTAAGTTTGGAACATCAAATAAAGGATCTTGAGAGGCAGGTAAAGGAGCGTAAGCAATGGGCACACGAAAAGGCAAAACAAGCTGCGATGAAGTTGTTCAATGACATTTCAGAACTTGAGATGCTGAGGAAGGAAAGGGATGAGATTCAGCTGCTAAAGAAGGGGATGCAAGCCATTGAAGATAACTCCATGAAGAAGCTTGGGGAAATGGAGAATGAACTCCGTAAAGCTAGTGGTCAAGTGGACCGTGCAAACTCTGCTGTGGAAAAGCTTGAGAATGAGAATGCAGAGATTAGAGCAGAGATGGAGGCTTCTAGGTTAAGTGCATCAGAATCTCAGAAAACCTGTATGGAGGCCACAAAGAGGGAGAAAAAGTGCCTAAAGAAGCTTTCAGCAATTGAGAAACTGAAATCCAAACTTCAGGATGATATTGCAGCTGAGATACATAAGATTTCCGATTTGCAAAAGCAATTGGCTCAGGCTGAGGCAGGTCAAAAGGAAGCTGAGGTATTTTTCTTTATATTGTTTACTAATTTATGATTCTTTGCAATATATCTTTTATGTGTTTCTGAACCATTTAGATAAAAAGAACACTATAATCCATGGACAAGGATTACAAAAGCATCACACATGGATGGAGGATAATAGGTCCATAAGTTCACCTTAGTCATATACATTCTTGCAGCAAAAGAACAAAACTTTATACTTGTACCTAATTTTTACATTGGAGTATGAACTATGACGTCATCAAAGCATCTTTTGTTCCTTTCGTTCACAAGTGCCAGATTTTGTGAAGAAAAATTGTTTTTCTATTTTTACATACAGATATTCTCCTAACTAAAAGAAAATCGTTAGTTGACTTGACAACATCGATATTTTATAATCTATTCCAAGGTTCAAAAGTAACATATTGATGTCCATAGCCTCTTTGCAGTGCAAAACTAGGTGGCTGCCTGGTTTGGCCTCTTTGCCATACAAGTCCTGCTACCCAAAACTTGTTGCGTACTCTATGAATTATCCTGTACTAAACTACTAATATTGTGTCATGAAATGTTGTCCACTAGTCTAAGCAAAAAAAAAAAAAAAAAAACTCTTGATGGAGGCTCAGCTCTGTGGAAATCCGGAGCATCCTTTTCAACCTTTGTTTTTATTTCATACAAACACACAAAGGCAATGTTTATTTTGATGACATAGGGACATAGGGTATCCCAGACCCTAGGCCGAACTAATCCCCCTGCATGACAAGTACCCCCTCCAACATACACCAGATAAATCTCCCAGGTATGTGTGGCCCCAAGGAATTAAACATGACCTACAAGTTGGCGTTTTCTTACCAGTGAACCAACTCATAGGATTTGGTTTTTATTTTAACTTTCTCTATGTTTCCACATGTGAAATTCAATATATCAAGTGTCTTTAAAATATAAGTATGGTATATATTTCAGTCAGTTGGATGGGTTGCTTCACCCATCTGATTTCTTGTCAAGGACTCAAGTTATAATCCATATCGTTGTGGTATTTTTGAGTAATAAATCCTTCAAATAAATTCCCCCACAATGGAAGAAAAAATTAGGGACCTGTTCTGTTTGCTTCTAATTTTAATGCTGATGTTAATTGCGAAACACTGAAATGATTAAGCTTTGGAAATTGCTTGTGAATTTGTTAAGTACTTTGATCTGCACGATACTGTTCATGGTAACCTTAATCATTGAGTGAGGTTGAATTGCCTTGCAGTTTCCTTGTGCTCTTCTTGAGTTGCTTTTAGTATTCTATCATTTCTTATGAGTGATTTTGATATTCCAATGAAACCCATAACTATTTATTATGTATTCATATATGACAGGTAAAATGGAGGCAAGAACAGAAGGCTAAGGAGCAATCCTTAGCACAAGTGGAGGAAGAACGACGCAACCGTGAAGCAGATGTGACTAATAACAAAAGAAATCTTGAGGCAATGCGCTTGAAGATAGAAATAGAGTTCCATAGACACAAGGACGACCTCCATCGGCTTGAGCGAGAACTTTCACAGGTTAAAGCAAGTGAGCAAACTTCTAGGCAACATCTTCAATCCCATGATTTATCAATGCAAAACTTGAATGGGGCGAAGTCAGAAGGTGATATCATGCGTGAACTAGACGCACTGGAGGATGGGGAAGCCATTGACCACGATAGGAGATGCATAATTTGCTTGAATCATGATGTTTCTGTGGTTTTTCTCCCGTGCGCTCATCAAGTTCTCTGTGCAAAATGCAACAATGTCCATGGGAAGAAGGGGAAAGCTAAATGTCCCCACTGCCAGGTTCCAATTCAACATAGAATTTGCGTGTTCGGCACATCCTCATAGCATTGGAGCTTGACAAAGTGTTGTTGAATAGTGACTTAGATGATAAAATAGCTATTTACTTTGGTGTTTCTACTATGTGCCTGAATGAATGGTCATCCTAAAATCAAATGCTGGAAGTCATCAGCACAAGTGTAAGTAGAAAGTGAAATAAAATAAAGCAGCCAAACGGTCAAGTATTTGCTGCACAACAATAGTTATGCTTATACTAAAGAGTTCATCCCAAAGAAACTAATAATGATGGATAGTGTTGGTGTTGTTCTTGAAAATGTTACTTTTGATATTTTAGTTATAGTGGATTTAGACCATAAATATTGGCATTTCTACAATTCTACTTTTGATTTAAATGGTGTTTTAGGTCTTTAATTATCAACAAAGAAATGCAATGAAATTGGAATCTTCTTGAGTCCAAGAACCATTTTATTAGCCATTCATAATTAGGTTGTAAATTACTTGCCCACAAAAGGTGAAGTTCCTCATTCCAAGACAACCATTTTATTAGCCATTCATAATGTGTAACAGAAGTCCTTTCTTGCCTGTTTGTTTATAAGATACACAACGAGTTTGTTTAGAACATTTGAAATTAATGGATTTTGTTTGTATCATATGCACATAAATTGATATAAAATTGAATGTAGGCAAATGTAAAGAACAAAGAAAAGGTTTTTACAGGGATTTTTTCTTTGTTGTCAAGGAGGAAATTCACCAAGTATATTGTACATCTAATACATAACAATTGAAGAGTCTTCTCACAAAGATCAAACATTACGGCCTGTTTGGTTGGGCGTAATTTGGCTGTAGTTGAATTGCAATTCAGTGGAAGCCACAATTACGTTGTTTGGTTGAAGGGAATTGCAATTCCCTCCTTTTGCGGAATTGCAATTCATGGACACCCCCCTATGAATTGCAATTCGGTGGTTGTGGGAAAAGGAAAAAGGATGAAATGACAAAAGTACCCTTAATTATTACTACTATTATTATTACACAAGGACATTTTAATCTTTATATCACTTCTTTCATTCTCTATCCAATAATTCTATTCTTTTCTACCAAACAATGTAATTTGAATTCCTACTTTATTCCCACCTTATTCTTTTCCCACCGAATTGCAATTCCTTTCCACCCTAATTCCTTACTCCCAACCAAACGCCCTGTAAGTCTCACCGCTATTTGGCTTTGTCACTTTCATAAGAATTTACCACGAAATTAAACCTCCTTGCTACTCTTGACACACAAGTTAGAAAAAGAAGTCAACCTTATGTTATTCTTCCCAAAACAATTGAGTCATTCAATAGTCCTCTTAAAAAAACATTTGAAAGTAGATCATGTTGGATAATAAATAGTAGATGTTGTTATAAATCTATTTATTTATGGACATTATTATTATTATTAGTATTATTTATGTTTGTAATGGATGTAACGGCTTTAGCATTTATTGTAGGGATTACATTGTTTCCTATATATATAGGTTGTAATTCTTGATGATGTTGAGATAAAAGAATTCTTACTCCCCTTTTCATCTCTATCTCTTCTTCATTTTAGCATTACACTTTTCTTTATGTTATTGATACAAATCCTCCAACCCAACAGCTAGGAGCTAAAGCCCAACGGGCACATTACAACACATTATCACCGCTCTTTCGTTCGGTGAACGATATGCTTACTTTCTGCTAACATTCCTAGCTAGTTGATCAAATTGCATAAGTTATGCTGCGTTTCTGCTGATTTGTGCTCTTCTACTACCTGCTTCCTCTACTAGTAACTTATGAAGATCATGTACATTGTTCTATAGTCCTTATTCTGTTCCATCATTCTGCATACTGGATGTGATTATAAAAACTCAGTAATGAGATTTGAAGTACTAGGCAGTGTCTCTTATGCCCTCAAAGGTCAAGGTTACCAAAGAAAACCAAATTTGATGCAAACAGATGAAAAGTTTGGAGCTTTCACTTATTAGTTTAATCAAATTCATTTATACACCCAAACACCTATATATTTACTTGTCAAGATATCAAAAAAGTATATATAAAAACTCAAAATCTGAGGAAACTTACCTACATATAACTTGAAGAATAGTGGCATGAAAAGTTTCAACCTTTACCCCTTAGAATTCACAGCTGATGACATCAAGAAGCTTCAACAATACCATAGCTTTGCTCCTCCCCTTGTCGCTTCCATTCTCCGCCACTTCAATAATACCTAAAACCACTCCCCGGATGCTCTCCGTCACATCTTTCCCACTGCATTGCACCAACTCAATACTGCACAAACTGCGTTCTCATTGCTCCGATTCTTCATCCGGTGGCATTGTCCAGCAAATCCACTAAGACTCCGACGCCGGAAACATTTCTCAACGCCTCCCTGCAATTTGGGCGATCACGGCAGTGACGTCTTCTACAATCCCTACACTACCGTCCTTGCAGACCTGGGAGAACAACGTCGTGACGGCCCCAAGCTCAATGTTTTCGGACCGATTAAGAGGGTGGAGCGCGATCCCGAAAAGCGCCTTCAGCGCATCTTCATTCACCTAGAACCTGAATTAGGGCTTCTCACGATAAGGCGAGGGAAAATGGCTATAATGTGATGAAATAAACATGTATTTTTAAAATTAGGACTGATGGGGTGAGAACCCCGGCCCAAGAAAGGAGGCCCAGAAAGAATGCATGGGCCGATTCCAGGACCCGGCCCAGGTCCAAAGAAGGACGGCCCAATGTCGAACGGGGGCGAGGAGTCGGCCCAGGCATGGCCCAAGAGAGGACCCGGTCCAGGGAGCCGTTGAAGGAGCCTTCAGAGCAGTTAAGGCAAGGAGCCGTTGAAGCATTAAAGGTCGGACTCGGTCCGCCAGTTACCGGCCAGAGAGAGCCGTTGGCAGAGTCCGTAACGTCGCCCAACGGCTCGACGCATTAAATGTAATCTTGAAGTCGGCCATCGTGAGCCTTTAAGTCAGTAGAGGAGGAACCACTATAAAAGGGCTCCTCCACCCTTGTATGAGGCAAGATTCAAGAACCCGGAGAGGGAATAGACAAGTACTACTAAGCATCATATTTTACTAAGACTCAAACCCTTTTGTGAAAGGTGTATCCACCAGCTATAGGTTGTGTTGGACCTCCTTGGGCCCGAAAACCCAAAAACCATCACTGGCGCCGTCCGTGGGGATCGAAACGAAGAGTCACGTGTCCTCTTGGGTGAGGCGAGTCCGAGAAACAATAGTTGAATCAGGCAGACTCCAGACATGGCTGGAAGCGAGGAACAGTCGAGCCGTCAAGACAACGGACGAGAGGCCGACTTGAGAAACCAACTGAATAGGAGAAATGCTCGAAGCCATGAAAACGAGACGACACCGCCACCAACACCGCAGAGAAACCCGCAAGTACCCCAAGTGCTGCTCACTCCGGAGCAGTTGCGCGCAATCGGGCGCGCCTGCGCGGAAGCAAGTCTGGGGGTGAGAGAACAGTCCATCACTCGCCAGCAGCAACGCGAACTGCAACTACCTCAGAGGCCAGACAACCGGCAATTAAGCCGACGGGCTGAAAGCCAACCTGTACAATCCGTTCATTCCCGGCTAGGACCCAGCGTCGGACGTCGGTCGGCAAGAGAGCGATTAGGCCGGAGGGAGCCCAGTCGTGCCCCGTTAGTCGTCCGCGACCGAGAAGCTGCACGAGAAAAGAGCCGAACCAAAAGGGCCAGGACTGAGACTCGCCGCGTAGAGCGACCTCCTCGCAACCCTGCCCAACCGGCTGAGTCTGAAGTCGGCGAAAGCACGGAATCCACGGGGAATCGGACCCGGGAAAGGGTCGAAGTGGCCAACCTAGTACAAGAGGTACGAAATCTAAGAGAACGGATGGAGGGAAAAGCCAAATCCCCGGGGCGTACGTTGCTAACCGCCTTGCCCTTCTCGGACGAGGTCATGGCCTTCAAGATACCGGGCGACTTTAAGTTCCCGGAGCAAGCCACATTTGACGGATCAGGCGACCCGCGAGAACACCTGTTGAGTTACCAAGCTAAGATGCAAGTTCTAGGAGTGCGGGATCCGGTCATGTGCCGTGCCTTCTTACCTACGCTGAAGGGGCCCGCCCAAAGATGGCTTGTAAGTCAGCCCTCGGGGTCGATCCACAGCTTCGAGGAACTGGCAGACCGCTTCATGAGCCACTATGCCGCTAACATCAAGCCACAGAAGGATCTGACGCACTTAGGCGACATCCATCAGGATGAAGGCGAGTCCTTGAAAGCCTATCTTGCTCGCTGGCAGAAGGAGATCCAGTCGATAGAAGAGGTGGAGGACCAAACAGCGCTCACCTTCTTCATTGAATCTTTGCGATCCGGACAGCTGTATCGAGATCTAAGGGACAACCGCCCGGCGACATACGCGGAGGCTGTCCAGATGGCCAATAAGAGGGCCAACACAGAGCAGGCCATGAAGCATAAACGGCAGCGCGAGGTCGGTGGGTCCGCCAGTGGAAAAAGGACACGGGTGGAAACGAGAGAAAGGCGTTCGGATGCCGCCCGGCGACCCGAGGTCAGGCGACCGTATGACCGACCCGTCGTTCGCACCTATCGACCGGTTCCAGAGCGACCAGTCCGCGAAGTACAGGCGGTCGCCCCGCCTCAGCCTCCGTCGATGGACGACCGAGCAGCGGACGAGGATACGGGTAAGACTTCTAAATATTGTCGCTATCACAAATCTTATACTCACAGCACAGAAGAATGCTACTATCTAAAGAAGATTATGGAGGGGATCATCCAGCAAGGGACACCGCCCCCTAACCAATGGAAGCGAAGGTCGACCGGTCGAGGAGGAGAAGGACCCGTCGCCGACTCAGAAAACAGCCGAGGTAAGCAGCCGGCTTCCGAAGAGGATGAAGCCCAATGGCGCCAGAAGCCGGTCATTAACATGATAGTCGGTGGGCCAGAAGGCGGCGATTCCGCGAACACCCGAAAAGCCTGGGCTCGGCAGCTATATGTCGGAACGGTCTATGGGCGAGAAGAGAGCTCCAAAAGGATATGTCGGGAGCCCATCGTGTTCACCGATAAAGACCTACCAGCCGGGGAAACCCCGCATCGAGACGCGTTGGTCATCGCCATGGACATCAACGGTGTGGTCGTTCGCCGAATCCTGGTCGACACCGGGAGTAGCGTCAACGTACTGTACCTAGAAACCTTTATCAAGATGGGGTTGACCCGAGAGCAGCTCAGACCCGTGAACACCCCTCTCGCCGGTTTCACCGGGGACTCAGTGGAAGCGGAAGGATCCATCACTCTTCCTGTGGAAATCGGCAGCTATCCGGACGTACAACAGTTGAGCATGAAATTTA